GTGCTCTTCCGATCTACATGTTCCAACACAAATTTTTGAATTATTAATTAAAGAAATCTTTGTATTTAACTATTTTTAATAATTAATAATACTTTTTATTTGGTTAGTTACAAATCGTGGTAGGGAATTTTGTTGTTTAGAACTAATTTTAAGATAAATAGTCAAATCTAAGTAGGCAGGTTCTAAGTAGTCTGCTACATATTTTTGAGATCAGAAATGTTAAATGTTATACAGAATCTATTTTATCTAATAATATTGCAAAGTTGCCATTAGAAATCTGTTTCGAATATTTTCTTTATATTTTCAATAATAAATAAGTTTAATGTACTAATGTCTGTCGCTAAATATGAAAACCGTTACATTCATACGGCAAAAAAGTATAATATGAAAAAATTTTGTCGTATTTTTACAATTTTTTACCGTATTGACTTGTAGATAAGACCATTTTCAACAGAAAGTCCTTTACCATTTTGCAACATACAAATTTCTAAGTCATTAAAGAACTTTTTATACATAAGTATAAATCAATACAGAATAATTAAAAAAAATGGTTATTTGTAAAATATATGATAATATATAATTTAAATAATGATTATTTGTAAAATATATAGTAGAGAACTTTCTCGTTTAGAATGATCTAATCTACCTAACTACATTATGCAAAGTAACACTTGTCAGACATTCCATATGAGACTATAATTATAATCGGTATAGTACTAATTGTAAAATCCATATACTCTGTGTAAAAATGGTAAAAATAATATTGAAAATTTCAATTGTATTTAAATTTTTATCAATGTCAAATTAAACGTGAACTGTACCATTTTCTCGGATCTCTTAAATTAAAACGATTTGGAAATGGCACATCTTCAATACTTCCAGAATACGCAGTATCCATATTTTGAACCAGGCCAGACATGCTTTGTTCTGTTTGTAAGTTATATTGTAGTGTATCAATATCCCTGCATTCCCAAATCATATGCAAATTTTAGCAAGATTTTTTTAAATTTAACAGTATAATATGAATAAATATAAGTATGATAAAAATAAAAATTACTTATTAATATCGGAATCTGTTAATAATTGTGCAATGTCTGAAAAATTTTAAACAGGAAGTATTATATCAAGATATCAATGTTTTATATGCATATTATATCATGTATCTTATTTGCTTATTTAACTTACTTATATCGCAATCTGAAATATTCTCAATATCTGTTATAGGATCTACATAGCTCGGCAAAGTAAGAATAACGACCATGCTTATATTATTGAAAACGTCAGGTACATTTTCATTTATGTTATCATCCATAATATTTGATACAACTCTGTTTTTATCTGTTTCGTCTCTACTGTCAATGGGTACTGAAAAATCATATAGTTTTTATAAAAACCATTTCCAATGAAAGCAAAAACAAGAGTTAAAAAAATATAATCTTATGAAATAAGAGTAACATCCATACCAATATTATTAGAAACTTCAAGTATATTTTCGTCTATCGCATCATCCGCTATGTTTGACACATTTTCATCTATTTTATCTTTACTGTGATTGCCAATGGATACTGAAAAATTATGTAATAACTATTTTTAATGAAAGCAAAAACTAAAGTTTAATAAATATAATCTAATTAAATAAGACTGCATTCGCTTTGGTACTTATTCTGCTCACAGCATCATCTCATCCTTGTTGTTTATCAATTGTTAAAAAAGGACAAATGGTACTTATAAACCGAATACAGCCTAAAAGTAACACCCGTACCAATAATATTGAAAAATTCAGGTATATTATCGTCTGTCACATCATCCGCAATATTTGACACATTTTTGTTTTGAACTATTTCGTCTTTACCGAGACTGTAAATAAATACTGAACAATCATAGTTTATATGAAAACCATTTTTAATGAAAGCAAAAAATAGAATTTAATAAATATAATCTAGTAAAATAAGAATACATTCCTCTCAATATTATAGGAAATTTCAAGTGTACTTTTGTTTATTGCATCAATCGCAATATGACATATCTGTTTTTATCTGGTTCATTTCTATCTACATATCTCTATTCGTCAGTAATTATTGATAAATTTGTTAGTTGCAATTAAAAAACAAAGTTTAATTTTTTAGAAATATTAGGTTTAATTAACAATAAATTAAATTTGGACAAATTCGAAAAATCCAAAAATTTAATTTAATTAAACAATTTTTGTTATTAGCTTCTTAGAGAAAACTTAGATAGAATTTAAAAAATTAACATATTAAACATAAATGTATAAATAAATTATATACTTGATATTTTCGGATTAGTAAGATGTCCACTGTATATACGTAGATTAGGTCATTCTAAACGAGAAGTTCGTGTTTTCGTTTTGCATGTCATGTAACTTAAAATCGTTTATTTATATTGATCATATATAGAAAGTTATTTAATTACTGAAACAGAAATTTATATCATTGTAATAGCAAAAATTTTTTTTGTGCAAAATCTAATCTGCAA